TAGAAAGGGATAGTACGAAGGAGTTTCTGTTGGGTGATAGAACTGTTCTGTATCCTAATTATGGTGGTGTTTCACACAAATATGGTGAAAGTCATAGAACTGTATACAATACAAAGAAAAAAAATCTGAAACAAAATAAAACAAAAAGCTTATATGAATGACCAATGACTAATGCCCAATTTGAAGATGCTTTGGACACACACTTAATAATTTGATGAAAATCAGTGCAAATGAAAGAAATCTTTTCTACGTCTGGAATATTTGTTACCAAAGATCAAGATCATCTGATAATATAATTCATACTTTGTGTGCTTTACATTTTATTTTACCAGTGAAAATTTTAAATATTACACATGTACGGTAATAGCTTTCACATTTTTTAATGATTTTTATGTGGCATTTATTTTGTGTCGAAGTTCCCTTCTTTTACGGTTTTCTATTAGCACATGTCTGTATCAAGTAATTTAAGAGTGCTATTATAATGCTGTTATATCAGTTTATAATAATAAACCAGCTGATTTCATATTGTCATTTTCTCTCTGAGACTGTGATGTTTGTGCCATAGCAGTCCAGTGCAGTAGTCCTCAGGTTCCCCAGGCACTTGGTTCAGCTGGCACTTCATTACAATCAACCACAAATTATACTGTAATGACACTTGTCATGAATTACAAGCCTGCTGCCACTGGAAGTAGCTTGGCGCTGTGCTCGATCCCAAGAACAAAACCAAAACCACCTCTGAAATTCCCTCTTGCGGGGTCTGTCTCCTGGGGCCCCTGCCAGCACCAATTCTTTATCAGCCAGGGTCCAAACAGGAGAGAGAAACTACATGGTAACTTGCAAGGACAGCTTAATATAATGAATTACTTACTATTTACAAGGAATTAATACCTAAAAGGAAATAAAAGAGAATCCTAAAGAATACCACCCTCAAGCTGAGGGAGAATACCCAAGTAAGGAACGGACTTGGAAGGGAGGGCCACTCCCAAAGCCTGGGATTCAGAGCTCAGTGGAGAAGGTGTGGTAGTCACCTGGGGACAGAGCCGGGTCATGGTGGGTGGGTCGAGGCTGGCAGGCAGGGAAACATCCACTGCAGTACCGAGAATTACCAGCAAGCTCCTTGGGGAGAGGGCATAGGGGCAGAGTTGGGGAAGGGTGTTTTGAACTGAGTAGAAAACCAGCCAGGATACTGGCTGGACTTGCCAGAACCCACCGGAAAACCCCTTGCAGGAGATATTGTTGAAATATGGGGGGCCAGATGGGGCGCCCATGGAACTCATGAAGCCAACCATGAAGGTGCTGCTGAGAAGCACTCC